GGGGGCACAACGGACTCCCACCTTGGGGCCGGCCGCCCCTACCCGGGCCGGGTGAGGGGCGCCCGCCAGAAGCTAGAGGTGAGCGGGGACGTCGGTGAGCAGGCGGGTCAAGAGCACGCCTGGCGACTGGAACTCCGAGCAGAGGGAAGTGGGGACAGAGGGCCTCTCGCCGGCCCTCCGGGTGAGAGGTGGATAGGAGAGGTGTCTGCAGCGGAACTGTGGCGCGGGCCGGGCCGGGACGCAGGTGGGCAGAGCGGGCCTCCCAGGGCGGAGGCCGGAGGGATATCAGTGGACCGTTCTGCACCAGCCCGGAATGGGCAACCTCGTGGGAGGATGATGAGGTGGCTGCAGGGACGAGTGGAGAATCAGCACGGACCGAGGGTACAGTTCAGGACCCGAGAACCCACTAGGGCGGTGAGAGGAGGTTTGGGGGGCGCAGAGGGGTGTATTTGGCACCGAAAGGTAAGTTAGCATTGGCAGAGTTGCAGAGACGCATGGTGGCCATTCCCTGTTAGGGACAAAGGTTTAGGTGGACGTCTGGGAGTGGGGTACAAGGAACCCCACCGACTTCGGGGGGGGATGAAGTGGGGAAGGGGGCGGGTCCCTAAGGTTCTGGGCTTGGAAGGCGGGCGCACCTTGGAGGGATGCTGTCTGGGGAGGACGCTGGACGCGGCCGCGGTGAAGACGCGAGGCTGGCCGTGCGGCGTGTCAGCCGGCGACCGCCGCTCTGGGGGGCCCGCGTCAGTGCGCGGTTGCCATGACGACAGGCGGGCGGGGGGCGGGGGCTGCGTGGAAAAGAGGTCAGCTCTGAGCCTCCTTGCTGCTCCTGGCTCTGGCGGCGCGGGAGGCAACACCGGGTTCATTCACCTCTGCCTCCCCCGCGCTGGACCCGGGCATGGGGTTCCGAGACCCGAGCCCCTCGGAGGGCGTGCAGGGCTCGGGACCGCGCACCGCCGCCCTGTACTGACGGGCCGCGCGGTACCCTGCCTGTGCTAGGAGGAGAGGAGGCCGCACGCGGTCAGCGGAGCTTCTTCAGGATGCTCATTAAGGAGTACCACATCCTGCTGCCCATGAGCTTGGACGAGTACCAGGTGGCCCAGCTCTACATGATCCAGGTGAGAACGGTGGGGAGGGCTGTACTGGAGCGGTGCTTCATGGTGGAATGAAGCAGGAATTCGCAGGCCGCAGGGGGATAGTCCCGCTGGGTTCTTCCACCCCCCCCCCCGCACCCAACCAGTTCCGTTAGTGGGTTCTTTAGCCCAGAAAAGGAAAAGAGACATCCTTTGGATATTAAAGCGGAAGGGAGGGATAGAGGGACAGAAGGGTAGGGAAGACCAACGGGTGCTTTCCATCCATTAAATGCCCAGCCTGCAAAGCCCACATATGGTCTCCTTTAATCCTAAGAATCTGTAATCCCGTGGGGGAGGGGAAAGCAGTCTATGAGGAGACTAAGGAGCCAGGGACACTAGGTGGTAGATAGCTTAAGCCGGAAGGGGTTCTGGGAAAAAGTGTAGAATCCTAGCATTCCCAGGAGATCAGAAAGGTCCATGTAGATCAGGCCCCCAAACGGTGGCAGGGACAGGGCAGGCAGGAACTAGATGGGGAGGAAGTGCATCTGGCCTTGGGCTATGAGAAAGAAGCTGGATCTAGGCAAGCAAGCTATCAGGTTTTCAGGGGGTCTGGCCCAGGTCTGTTCCCCAGGCCTACAGAGTATAAGTATAGGAGTAGAGAAGCCACATCCCACCTCCTTGGGGATGAATGAACCACATCTGGGCTTCAGAGCTATAAAAGGATAGCTAGAGGCTCTCACACTATAAAGGATGTCACAGGATCTGGGAATAAGGTCCCAAAGGGAAGGGGCAAGTCAAGTCTGTTGAGAAGTGGTCTTGTTGCTACTCCTGAATATATTCATCATGTTCTATTACCAAGCTTGCACAGACCTTTCTGCTTTGAGCCCCCCACCCTCCAGCCCCCTATGTACACACACACACACACACATCACATGTTCAAGTCATGGTCTCATTGTCCTTTCCGTCAGATCTTCTGTGACCATCTTATCACAGCCAGTTCCCAGCTCGTTACTCTTGTCTTGCCTTCTTTTCCTCAGGAGCACTCCCTTCCTGTTTTTGATTTCCCTCTGCTGCAGTCTAAGTTGTGACAGTTCTGTTTGTCAACAAATCCCAGTTCTGCATCCCAAACAATGACCAACCAGATCAAGTGTTAGGTTGCAGAACCCTATGGGAACTGGGCAGAACCTATGATCCCAACCCCAGGAAGTTACAGAGACCTGCAAAGGCTATGCAGGCTGCAGAGATGGCTCAGCAGTTAAGAGCACTTGCTGCTCTTGCAAAGGGTGTGGGTTTTGTTCCCAGCACCAATGTGGCAGCTCACAGTCAACTGCAACTTCAGTTTCCAGGGATCAATGCTCTCTTTGGGCATCAGACATGCATGTACTGCACATCCGTACAGGCAGGCAAACACTCACATAAAATAACCCTTTTTTTAAAAGGCTATGCAAAGAATCAGAACCAAGGTGAGGACCCGGGGATTTAAGCTAGGGGTTGAGTTCCCCATTCTCTGTCCTGGGCTGCAGAAAAAGAGCCGGGAGGAGTCTAGTGGTGAGGGGAGCGGTGTGGAAATCCTGGCCAACCGGCCCTACACAGACGGGCCTGGAGGCAGCGGACAGTACACACACAAGGTGTACCACGTGGGCTCCCACATCCCAGGCTGGTTCCGGGCACTGCTGCCCAAGGCTGCTCTGCAGGTAGAAGAAGAATCCTGGAATGCTTACCCCTACACCCGAACGCGGTGAGTGTGTGAGCTAGGCACAGACGCGGGACTGTTAAGGAAACAGTGCTTGTGAACACAGCAGTGACTTTCATACTGCCCTCTGCCAGGTACACCTGCCCCTTTGTGGAGAAGTTCTCCATTGAGATAGAGACCTACTACCTGCCTGATGGGGGGCAGCAGCCTAACGTCTTCAACCTGAGTGGGGCTGAGAGGAGACAGAGAATTCTGGGTGAGGCCTTCTTGGGCCCTCTGCTGTTATTGCCTTGGTGGGCAGTCTTGGGCAAGCCTCATTTCTAACTCATCTTCCTGTCTCTGAAAGGCCTTCCTCCTAACCCTTGGGGTGGGGGTAGGTGGTAGAAATTGGAAAAGGGTTTGCTTAGTCCTGGCTCAAACCTCTTCAGACACCATTGACATCGTGAAGGATGCTGTGGCCCCAGGAGAGTACAAAGCAGAAGAGGACCCCCGACTGTACCGCTCAGCCAAGACCGGCCGAGGGCCACTGGCTGATGACTGGGCACGGACAGCAGCCCAGACAGGACCTCTCATGTGTGCCTATAAGTTGTGCAAGGTTGAGTTCCGCTACTGGGGCATGCAGGCCAAGATTGAGCAGTTCATCCATGATGTTGGTGAGCATCCAGATAAGGAAAATCCAGCATGCAGTAGGCCCATGTTGGGAACCAGGAGTGCCCCCATCCACTAGGGACATAACAACATGAAGCCATCATTTCCATCTCTGGTAGAACATAGGTGTGTCGGGGTGGGGGGACGGGGGCGGGGTTATGTAGCATGGCTAAGAGTCAAGGGAGCCTGCTTTGAGGTACCTAAAAGAATTAAGGGACAAGAAGCTGACAGCATGGTCTCTGAGGCCCATGCTGTCTCTGATACTCAAAGACATTGTGGCCTTTGTGAAGTTCCTGTGAGTTTGGGAATACTGAGAGGCTCCATCAGGAGGCTTACCAGCCCTCCCAGGATTTCCTGGGGATTGCAGGCTAAGAAGCACTGATTCCAGGACCGTTTTCCTCAGGGTACCCTCCTTTCCCCAGCACCCAGTGTCACAGCTTTGCCCTGATATTGAAGACCCAATTCTAAGCCTTTTCTGACCCCCCACTCCTAGAGCTGCTACCCAGTCCTGCTTACTTGTTAGGTCTGAGAGACCCATCCCCAGG